ACCTTTATCAAGATTTAATTACCATGAAAGCAGAAAAGCAGAGGTAATTGCAATCTTTACAGTAAATTGTAATTAAAACCCATGTGAGTTACCCACAAATATTTAGGACATTATTTAATTGAACCCAAGATAAAAATAAAAGCTAGTGAATGGCAAAGTTCATTATGCAACTTTCAATTCATATAACAGCCTAATAATTGCTCAAAGAGCCAGGAATATTTAAACACACTCATGTGTATATGTAATTTATGTAATAAAGCATGTCTGCATTATTTTGTTTTTACATATAAAATATGTATGCATAGCTATAGGGGTGAGTATTTATGAAATGTTATTTTTACATTTTTACAAAAACAGAAAAAAATTTATATTTTTACAAAAACAGAAAAAGATTTTCGTGAAAAATTTCATCTTCTTTGAACTAGGCTTATGGAATTTCATATTCTGCTCTCCTGTGAGTTCCATTTTATCCTTTAGAATCCAAAAAATGGGACTTTTATAATATAAAGGCATTGAGCTTCCTTGCTTGGCTTATGAAATTCTGTAGTGATATTCCCAGGAATAAACCCCATGAAGTGATTTGTTTTATGAACAGTGATGTCCAAAAACCATGAATGCCCTCTGAAAACCTGTGGAAAATTATTAAGCTTTCTTTGATGATTCATTTTATCTTTAACTGCACATACTTGGTAATGAAGTTGAAGAAAAGGAACACATATCATTTGCTCAGAGAATGCACAAAATAAAGCAAAATGGCTGAGTGCTTTGGGTGGTCTGGAAGTGCCAGGTAAGCTTCATATACTTATGTTTCATACGTTTTGAAGACATATCTTAAATATTATTTTATCCTCCAGGGGTGTCCAACCTTTTGGCATTTCTGGGCCACGCTGGAAGAAGAGTTGTCTTGGGCCACATATTAAATACACAAACACTAATGAAAGCTGATAAGGAAAAAAAGGTTTTAAGTAAATTTACGATTTTGTGTTGAACCACATTCATAGTAGGCCATGAGTTGGACACCCCCATGGGTATCAAGGTTTATGCCCTTATATTACAGAAATAGGATTTGGCTACTTTCTAGCTATTGATAAATACCTAATGTAAAGGAATAGAACTCAGGGCATTTTTAGTTTAAGGAGGAAAAATTAGTAGAAACATCAGAAACTAAGACTGTGTTAAAATATAAACAAACAAAAAAAGAGAAAGCTATGAGTTTCTACAAATGTATATAAGCATGGTTTCAGGTGGTGGAGAAATACCTTGCTCTTATCTATCAATGTCAATGTGGTAATGCATATATAGAAATCAAAATATTCAGAGGGAGCAACGGGTAATAATCATAGGCACAAAGCAAAAAAAGATGTGACCTCATTGTAAATTAATGGGCTCCGAATCAACAGTCTGAATGCCCACACTAAGAAAAGAATATTTCCCACTGAAATATGAATATGATGTTTCATATTATTGTTAGACCCACAGTATTTACTACTAAGTTCTATAAAATATTTTTAAGGCTAGTGGCACCAAGAAAACTGCCAAATCTACGGTCCATTCTGATCATGAGTGTGTAGTGTGTCCCTGACAATGGCCCCAAACAGTGGTCTGTGGGAAGGTGAAGAACTTGCTCTCTGTAGTGTGATCATTAGCAGTACCTGGACTCCTTGTTCCCTTTATATAGCTGGCATCCCTAATTGTATCCAAGTACTTACTGACCAGTTCATGTTTTGGGGTCATAAAAACTCTTGGGAGTATTTAATTAATAAAAATTGTATGAAAGAAGACCTTGAAAACAAATGCTTGACACATTCTTCTTATTGAGAGGATTGAAGGGGAGGAGAATTGAACACTTTCTGAGCTGAATGCTTTGACACTTTGAATCTTCAAGGAGTGCAACAGAAGAGACTCAAAATGTTAGCAGCTATGCTAAAACATGGACAAATTAATGCTTGCTTTAAATTGCAAGGCAACTGAGCAGGAAATTGGCCTAATTCTCTGCTTTTAATATCATCACACCTTTTGGCTATTCAAGTCTGCCAAGAAGCAACACCTAAAATGAGATTAGACATGCATGAGATTTACTGGAGGAAATGCCTGTGAAAGATAAGAGGGGAGGTAGCAAGAGGAGGCAAGGAGAACTTTCAAATAAATACAGGTCTGACACCTGAAAAATGATAGAGGGAAGGAAGGGTTAGGTGGGAAAGTACTCAGCTTGAAGCTCAGTTCTGAGAAGGTTCATGGCATGTCTATGAGAAATTCCAGAGCCATATTTTTATCCTACATTGGGCACCAATGTTATGTTCAGTCCTCATTGTGTCCAGTCATTAGCTGAGAGCAGCCATGAGGAAGCATGGCCTGGTGTAAATGCTGCAGTGGATCTGCAGGTGTAGAGTTGGAGCTGTCAGTCAATGCCACTTGCCACTCTTTGTAGCAGGTTCTCTTGAAGGAAATCTGAGCATGAATTTCCTCCATGGATTATACAGGTACATGGCACTTAGCATAACATTTCCTTTTAAATTCTCTGTTTTGAACAAGGATATGAAATTTTCTTCAGTAAGTATTTGAGGGGATGGATTTCTACTATGATTATTTTAACTAGATTGTTTTAACTAGACCCTAACTCTGTTCTAATTGCTTCCAACTAACTGCACATTGTTGTTATGGGCTTTATGCACAGGTACTAGAGACAGATTTTTGAAGCAGATTTTAATATAATGTAACATCTTCCTTTAATGAAAATTGCTCTAAATGCAGTTAAGTTTTCTCTTTAGGCAATATAGTAAGGTTTAATAATGGAAGGACTCTGGATATTCTTCTGAAATGGTCTCACCTGTAAGTTATATTATAGCAAGAATCCCTAGAATCAATGGGGCACAAAGCCACAGATAGCTGCCAATATTTGATCACAGAGTGACAAATTCAGACTTGCCATGCTTAGTATGCTCTCTTTGACTGGGACCGAGATATTTATCCATTGCTACTCTGAGGTTTTTGTTTTTTTTTTTTGTCCTGAGAGATTTAGCATATGCAGCAACATATCATTGATTGTGGACAACCAGGATAGTTGAAAGAAAGCTATTTGGATTATTATAGAGAAAACTGTTGGCAGGTGTGTGTCCTGAATAAGTAAACAAGTTGATAATTACACACCTGGAACTCAAAGAGCAAAAATGTGGATGATCACTTGCTGGAGTGGAGGCTGATCACTACAGTTGTTTTAAATGAGTCTACATATGGTTCATACTTCTTGTTCTAAATTCATTGGCAGAGGAATGTGGCTCAGAAACCATGGCACTACGTTAAATTATATAACAAATCTCTTCCAACTATGCATGGATTTGTGTCTGAATTATATTTTCTACCACACTAGATCGCTTTGTGCATAGTATCAACTATTTGGCACAAGAGGATACAGCAATGATCCTAACTCATTCTCAGAGGAATGGTTTAAGAAAAAATTTAGTAGAATAAAAAGGTTTGGATGAAAGTTTCTTTTTCATTCCAAAAGCATTCATTCAATAATTTAATGTTATTGAGGAGCTACTATGTGCCAGAATATATGGAAGATGTACAGTCAAAATTAAATATGTCCATGTTTTTGAAAAACACAGCTTGAAGACAAATTTTCAGAAAGCTAACTATTAGCTAGGGTGGTAAGCAATGGTTCCCATTTTCCGCAGTGAATTCTGACTGTTACAGAGTGAAGGTGATCGTATCTCAATGCTGCTTAAGATTCTTTGGTTTCTTCATAGTTTTCAGGAAAAATGACACATTTCTTTGCCTAAAATTGATAACTAACATTTATTGAGTGCTTACCATGTGAAGGGTACTGTTCTAAGTGTATATAGATTAATTCACTTTAACCTCACAAAAATCCTGATAAGGTACTTTACAGATAAAGAAAATGAGGCATAGAGAGATTAAATATCTTTTCCAATATAAAATAGTACATGGTGGAGAGTTAGGATACAATCTAAGCAGTTTAGTTTCAGAGCTGTAATTGAACCTGTTACTCTATGTAACAAAACAGTCACAGCTTTGTCATGGATGAGAATTAGAACCATCTCTATCCTGTATCCAATTGTATATTCCTCTAGGCATATCAACTTCTTGTCATGTTGTTTCACACATTAGTGCTTTTGTGCAAACTATTCTTTCCCTCTGTTTTAATTCAACATGGTTTATTTAGCTCTTGCTTTTTTCTTTTTTTTGCCATGACAATTCAAGATACTGGGGATCATTACACCTATTAAAATAAATGCATTTTCCCCCTTTATGTAGGTTACAGACTACAGGGATTTGAAACGAAATAAGGAGAAGCTACAGTATAGAATGATAGGTGGAAGTAAATAATGATGCGTTTATAATTGTGGCATTATCGTGAGAACTGAAGTGTCCAGGAATCATACATGAGGTGTACAATTTGAGCTTGAAGGGTTAGCGGAGGCTGAAGGTCTAACTGACAGCTGAATGCCTGGAAATTTTGACTTTCCATACCTGGCTAATCCCTAGACATCTGTCAAGGCTCAATTTTTTTCTTTGAGAATCCAATCTTTTTCCCAGTCTGATTAAAATGACTTTTATTGATGCTCCCTTAACAATTTGAACACACAATACTTTATTATCTCACACTGCTATTTTTTGCTATTTTTAAAATTTTTTATTGCCTGTCTTTTCTCCCACTAAACTTAAAGCTCATCGAGGGCAGAAAATAATTCCTTGTTTACATTTGTGCCCACTATATCTACTACAGTACTGGTTTAGCATCCACCTGCTACATGTTTGCTAATCAATAAGGAAGTCATTGAAGATGAAGCAAGAAGTAGAATGATATTAGTTCGAGGTGGGTTGTTAGTATCTTGCCAATGATTTAAATTTTTTTCCCTAGATAATTAGATCTCCTTAGAGTTGGTAATAAAAAGTCATTTTGTGTTCCATTCATATTATGTATGTATTTGCATCCTTGAGTCCAAATGGTTTGCTAGGTTGTTTAAAACATACCTTTCCGCAGCTGCTGGTCTGCAGCTGTTCCGGTGGTGGCAATTGTGGCATTGCTCTGTGTGAGAGGAATTGTTACATGATTAAACACCTCTTTCTTAGCAAAACAGAAAATGAGCATGTGTGTGACCAACACAAGGAAAAAAAATAACCAAGAATACCATTGATGAGACTAAAGTAATAAGTTTTATCCTTAATGGACTAGTTTGCTTTATTTGTCTCTATAACCAGGTGTTGCCACACACATGTTGGCCACTTGCCCTAAAGATATATGACTTTGGTTATAAAGAGAACCACATGAGAAAGCATGTGTGGATCATCCCAAATCAATTTCCACTCATGTAACAACAACTGTCATGTATGTATGTTAGCTATGGTGAGCCAATAACTTCATTTTACCTTCACATATGCAGGGCAGCTTATTTTACACATAAATTCTCTATACCATTCTGCTTAAAACTAAAGTGATGTAAGTCAGTTAGAGAAAGACAAATACCATATAATTTCACTCATAGGTGGAATCTAATGAACAAACTGAATGAACAAGCAAAATAGAGGCAGACTCAGAGAGCGCAGGCTGACAGCTAAGGTGAGGGGAGGCTGGGGGTGGAGGGATTGAGCAGAAGGGAACAAGGACTCACGGACATGGGCAACAGTGAGATGATTGTCGGAGGAGGGAGGGATAAGAGAGCTAATGGCTATGGAAACAAATACAACAAAAATTTTTAAAAATTGTAACTCATAAAATTTTTTATGGAATTAAAAAAATAAAGTGACAGGTAAACTCCCAGGGTTACTTAACATCAACATCATCATAGACTTAAAAAGTTATTAGAATTAATCCAGTGTCCTTGAATTGTCAAAAAATTTATGTGATTTATATGTGCTTTGATAAAATGATTTTCCTCAACTCTCCCCACTTACATAGTTAGTTATATTGACTTACAGAAAGCTTATTTATTGTTTAATTCTTATCCTAGTCATAGCATTAGAACATACTATTTACCTTCTATTAACTCAAACTAGGACCATGAAACTGTTTTTTTCTGAAAATAACTCATCATCAGGTATTTATAGATTCTAGGGACTTTTAATTTGGCAAGAATAAAAATTACTTAGGTTAGTTTCTTAAAAAAAACAGTATGACTATGATAAAATAATCATTATGGGTGCTTTGTAGAAAAATGGCAATAAAATTAGGAATAAAAGCTGAAGATTTTCCATTTGGTTAGTGTTAGAATATCATGCGCATTATGTTGCAAGGAACTTCTGGGGAACTTAGATTCTCCCTAGAAATAGTGTTTTATAATAAAGAACAGAGTGTTCGTTTTTACTGTCAACCACTGCCTAATCATTTATCGGATATTTCTTACTTAGGTCATTAGGTTACAGTGATCCCAAGGCTATTTTTGGCGACACATATAAAGTGTATAGAGATAAATTTATCCTGTGCTATATGTCTGATAAGCTGGTTGAAAAGATTCAATCAGAGATGTGACATGCTGTGATAGGCATAGACAGAGTATTGATTTTCACTCACTGTGCATAAAACACAGTTCACTCTAAGAATCCTGTTGAAAGGGTGCTTTAAATTGCCCAGTAAGTAGATACTACTCATGGTCACAGGTATTTGAGCATACTTATCAAAAAATAAACTTCATTCTTAATTTCAGGTGCTTTTAATATTAATCAAGAATAAAAGAAAAAAGTCAACTAGATTTTACTGTCTTCTCTTCAACGTATTAGTGCTCCAAAGAATAATAGTATAAGAGCTCCTGCTCTCCCAAAACTTACAGTTTATTTGGAAAAAGACATTAATAGCTATTAGGCAATAAATGATTCAAACATACATATGCTCATCTGCCTTTGTTCCCTTATTTGCCAGATGCAGCACACACACTTCAATTAAGGAAAATCTTAACAAGATATAGTGAGATATAATTAGAATGGTTTGCATGACATCCTGATAACCTGACATCAAGGAAAAATGGACTCGATGTACATGGGTGAACAATGATGACTTCACTGTATTAGTCACCGGGGACAGTAGATGCTGTTGAGTGAGCGTGTGTACTGTGTGGTCATCACATTCAAAATGAGTGAGTAAGTAGAGCAACAAATCTGCATCAAATTTTGTGTTAAAAAAATTTTTTTTGTGTTAATCTTGAACATTCCTCTGTGGAAACTATTTGAATATTTCGGAAGGCCGCAACTATGGGCAACTAACAATTGGCAGCTTCATCACGTCTCATGCAGGGTTTTTTGTGCAAAATAGCAAATCACCCAGGTGACTCAGAACCCCTACAGCCCAGAATTGGTGCCCTGTGACTTCTGGCTTTTCCCCAAACTAAAATCACTTTTGAAAGGGAAGAGACTTCAGACCATTGATGAGATTCAGGAAAATACAACAGGGTAGCTGATTGTGCCTGGGAGAACTGTGTGAGGTCCCAAGGTGCCTACTTTGAATGGGGCTGAGACATCATCCTGCATGCAATGTTTCTTGTATCTTCTTAATAAATAATGTCTTAATAAATGTCTCTATTTTTCATATTAAATGGATGGATACTTTCCAGTCAGACCTTTTATATTGTGTGTACTTTGGGAAGAAATTCAGTGATGATGGTATCTGATTAATAGGAAAGGTCCAATGGCAGGTGGGAGAAAACCCCCTCGATGATGAGTGTTCAGTGCAGTAAAACCATACTGTATTTAATCTGGACTTTTGGGTCACTGATTCATTCATACTGGCTTTACATTTTCAAATGGGAACTATATACTAAAAAAACATCACAAATCATCAGGGAAATGCAAATCAAAACCACAGTAAGATATTACCTCATACCTGTTAGAATGTTCTTATAAAAAAAAAACAAGAAATAGCAGGTGTTGATGAGGATGTGGTAAAAAGGAAACCTTACTTTTGGTGGGATTGTAAATTGGTATAGCTACTGTGGAAAACAATATGGGATTTTCTTAAAAAATTAAAAATAGGACTACCATGTGATCTACAATTCTACTTCTGGGTATTTATCCAAAGAAAATGAAAACACTAACTTAAAATGATATATGCACACCCATGTTCATTGCAGCATTATTTACAATAGGCAAGATATCAGAATAATCTGTGTCCATTGATAGATGAATGAAGATGTGATTATACACACACACACACACACATACACACTCACACATATATGACATACATAGATATCCCATATATATGATGGAACATTATTCAGCCATAAAAAGAATGAAATGTTGCCATTTGTGACAACATAAATGGACCTCAGAAGCATTATGCTAAGTGAAGTAAGTCAAGCAGAGGAAGACAGATATCATGTGATCTCATTTATATGTAGAATCTAAAACAAACCAAAGAACTCCCTTTCAAAGAAACTTATAGAGATAGAGGACAGATTAGTGGTTGCCAAAGGTGAGTGTTGGGGTTGGGTTAAATGGGTGAAGGGCATCAAAAAGGACAAATTTGTAGTTATAAAATAAGTCATGAGGATGTAATGTACAGCATGGTGACCATAGTTTATAATACTGTATTTCATATTTGAAGGTTGCTGAGACAGTAAATCTAAATTTCTCATCACAATGAAAAAGGAGTTTTTGTAACTATGTAAGGTGGTGGATGGTAACTAGACTTGTTGGGGTGATAATTTTGCAACCTGACAAATATAAAATCTTTATGTTGTACACCTGAAACTAACATAATGTTATATGTCAATTATACCTCAGTAAAACACTGACCAACCAACCAAACAACAATAGCATCAAAAACATGAGAGATGTATTTGTCTCATGAGAGTTCTTTTTTAGTTGAAACACACTAAGCTGTCTACCATGCAGCATGAAAAAAATTTGAAATGGGGTTACATGAGTTAAATTCTTTGCAATTATGATTTCATGTTCCCTTTAAAAATTATTAATGTTTGACAAACCAAAATCTATTCAAATATCAGCATTTTAGGAAAATTGTGAAGAAGTAGATAAAACATCATGACAGTATACATTTATTCTGAATAATTTTAAGCTATGGCTCTGTTTTTGTTTATAGAAGTACAGTCTTTTTCTTAGTCTCTTTCTAGTTCAAAATTTTGCAGCACTGCATTTGATATTTTCTGTTGTTAAATGAATTGAGAAGATAGTTGGTTTCCACATGCCAAATGTTTTTTGAAAATATGATATAATGGTGGGAAGAACCTCAGTTTTCTACTGTTAGATGCTTTAACAGAACATAAAATTACAGTGATTAATTATGTTACTTAAAAAATAAATCTGTGCATTTTTGTAACACAAAATTTTAGCTTATTGACTTTGTTTCTATTTTTAAAATATTAATGTGCCCTGACATTGAAAAATGAAATGAGATTAAATAACTGTTGTGTCTGGAGTAACTCTACTCCAGACGGTAAAGCTGAGTTGGGAAGATGATGACTGGGAGATAAGTTCACCAGCAGCATCAAGAGAGGCTTCTCACATTTCAGAGACATTTCCATCCCTAAAAACCTTCCCTTAATAATACAATAAAGCCTGAACTAATGGGATACTTTAGATTTCCTATAATTAAACAAATCAGCTGAGTGCAGGACTAAATTTCCAGCTCTTTGCAGATATCTCTTTTTTCTAATTCAAGGGACATATAATCCTTTCCATGTACTTGACAAGGTGTATACACTATGCTTCCTTTTCCCTCTTAGTAACCCCTTACTCCCTCGAGTCTGCCAGGGAACCTTGAATTCTAGGGGCCCTAGAAGCTTAGGTTGCATCTTTACACTTTGACTCTACTCTTGGGCTAATATTTTGGCCTCCCTTTTGCTGCCCAGGAAGCAGGAGAGGATATATAGTTGCTAGGGCAGTGAAATCTTCCTCTCTTTCAGCAATAATATTTGGGGAGAGAGAGAGAGAAGGAGAGAGTGAGTGCTCAGGGCTAACATGTCTGCAGTACCAGGGTTTGGGAAGCCCTACAACTGGAAAGAGTCTAGGTCTAGGATGTACCTACACATGAATTCTGCACAAAAATGCAGTCTAGTTGGAATCTGTACTGTTCTTCTAGCCTCTTTATAGTAATAGTTAAAATCATTAATGAATTGGAGACTATTTCTTGAATTTTCTTTATTAATGCATTCATT